CCCTCTTATTCCTAGCACTGCGACTATTTGGTAATAAAAAATTTAATGACCCTCCTATCCTTACCCTTCCTGCTCCTTTGTTATTTCCCCTAAACCATTTTCGCATTGCAAATTTGTGCCACTGGCTTTCCAATACTCCCATTTTGCCTATTTCAGTTCTCCTGTACCCGTTACTACCCCGCACTTCACAGTTTTCCCGCCAAAACCCATACCACTAACTATTCCTATTTTAAAAGACCTAACAGCTCCCCCACTGCGTTGGCCAGTGCTCCCACCCCAGACCTAGATTAAGTGAACCCCATCCCTGGCATACATGTCATTTCTGCCATAGAAGAGGTCCCATTTTGTCAATGAATGTTACCCGCATTTTCCTTACAGTAATTTGTCCAGCCAGCAATTGACACCAATTGCTCTGGACAACCATTCATTTCCAACTCCTCTCCTTGGCAAAATGCCACATATGACGGGTTTTTGCCACCCTTCTTCCTAATTATCTCTATTGCTGACCTATACCTGCTAAACAGGTCCCACTCCTACGTCGCCAACATCGTTGCCTCCAGCACTGAGACAGATAATAGGATTGCTCCCATTACCTCTCATGATGTCATCCAGACGGCTAACAATATCCTTCATCCCAGCCCCAGGAAAACATACTCCTGCCTCCTACTCCTATCCTTCAAACAGAATGCCCTATCCATGTACCTAATCTGGCTATCCCCAACAACAACAATGTTTTTACCTTCCTTGGCGTCGTCCGGTTTGTGATGCTCCGAGTAGTCGACTCACATTCGCCAGGTAGCATTACACCACTTGTAAATTCGTCATGACGTTCTCGATGGTCTTCGTTGGGGTTTCTAGGGATGTCTCCCCTCACGTCTGCCAATGCTTCCTTGGTGCTCGTTGTGGCATTCCCAGTAGAACACTCACATTCGTCAGGGAGCACCGAGAATGAGTTGGAAGTTTCCACGGCAGTCTTCTGGTTTCTCGTTGTTTCTGCCTCTCCAACCGTTTTCTTAATCTTCAGCTTGGTTCCATGTTGCCCGACCACTGACCAAGCTCCCTCCTTAACCTGGGGACTCACAACAGGTGGATTACTACGAATCCTCTTGTTCTCCTCCGTTAATCGCCGTATCTCCAGTTTAGCAACTCTGAGTTCTTCTCTCAGCTGCTGGTAAAGCTGCTCAAGAGAGGGCATCCTGGTTCAGATTCACAGAGAGCACACAAACAGGTCTTGTTTGTTCATTATTTGCTATTAAACTACAGTATAAATAATGTAAACCCATCCATGACTGCATATTGGAATGGCTATTCGGACAGGTATTGGAAGGTGACATCGTGTGTTTACTCTTGAACACAGCAAAGAATCAAACATTTCTGCTACTGCTAATAATAATAATAATAATATTAATATAATAATAATAATAGTAATAATAATAATAATAATAAATACGATAGAATTGAAGAAGGAAATTGTACAAAAATACGAGGGTTGAAGCAGTGGTGGAGGAAGTGGTTGACACATCGTCAGTGTGGCTTTGTTTATGCTGGAGTGAGTATTAGTCTCCGTGCTCTTCCAAACATTTCACAATAATTCATTGTATTTGGTGCTTGTAGACTGAGTGTGACTGGAGTGGTTGAGGCAGTGGTAGAGGCAGTGATAGAGGCAGTGATAGAGGCAGTGGTAGAGGCAGCAGTTGAGGCAGTGGTAGAGGCAGTGGTAGAGGCAGTGGTAGAGGCAGTGGTAGAGGCAGTGGTAGAGGCAGTGGTAGAGGCAGTGGTAGAGGCAGTGGTTGAGGCAGTGGTAGAGGCAGTGGGTGAGGCAGTGGTAGAGGCAGTGATAAAGGCAGTGGTAGAGGCAGTGGTAGAGGCAGTGGGTGAGGCAGTGGTAGAGGCAGTGGTAGAGGCAGTGATAAAGGCAGTGGTAGAGGCAGTGGGTGAGACAGTGGTAGAGGCAGTGGTAGAGGCAGTGATATTTACTAACATATATATTATAAATAATAATAGTACATTATGAATAACATTTATTATTATTATTATTATTATTATTATTATTATTATAAATGTTATTAATATTAACATGTACTATTATTATTTATAACATATATGTTAGTAAATACCACTGCCTCTATCACTGCCCCTATCACTGCCTCCCTCCCTGCCTCTATCACTGCCTCCCTCCCTGCCTCTATCACTGCCTCACCCACTGCCTCTATCACTGCCTCCCTCCCTGCCTCTATCACTGCCTCCCTCCCTGCCTCTATCACTGCCTATATCACTGCCTCTACCATTGCCTCACCCACTGCCTCACCCACTGCCTCTACCACTGCCTCTATAACTGCATCTACCACTGCCTCAACTGCTGCCTCACCCACTGCCTCTACCACTGCCTCTACCACTGCCTCAACCACTCCAGTCACACTCAATCTACAAGCACCAAATACAATGAATTATTGTGAAATGTTTGGAAGAGCACGGAGACTAATACTCACTCCAGCATAAACAAAGCCACACTGACACTACGTCAACCACTGCTTCAACCCTCATATTTTTGTACAATTTCCTTCTTCAATTCTATCGTATTTATTATTATTATTATTATTATTATTATTATTATTATTATTATTATTATTAGCAGTAGCAGAAATGTTTGATTCTTTGCTGTGTTCAAGAGTAAACACATGATGTCACCTTCCAATACCTGTCCGAATAGCCATTCCAATATGCAGTCATAAATGGGTTGACATTATTTATACTGTAGTTTAACCCTTTCAGGGTTCAAGGCCCAAATCTGGAGTCACGCACCAGTGTCCAAGAATTTTCAAAAAAAAAATTTGTTATTTTTTCTTATGAAATCGTAGAGAATCTTTTTGTGAAGGTAATAAAACAAAAAGTATGAAATTTGGTGGAAAATTGACGAAATTATGCTCTCGCGAATTTTGATGTGTCAGCGATATTTACGAATCGGCGATTTTGCCGACTTTGACTCCCATTTTAGGCCAATTACATTATTCCAATCAACCAAATTCTTAGCTATTTCACTAGTATTACTTCTATTCTATCGATTGAGCACAAGAAATCGCCAAGTCAACTGTTTCAACTACAAAATAAAGTGATCGGAAATTGTTAATTTGGCCAATTTAACACAAAGTTCAAAATATTCCAATTTCAAAATAGGGTCCAGAATGAACAATGTAGGCATTCTGGCACTAAACTAACATTTCCTCTGTTCATTAGTTATGTTTTGAGGCTTTACAAATAAATTCCATTTGATTTTTTATTCACATAATGAATTTTTATTCACACCAAAAAATAGAAGATTTACTCTTATGCAATACTGTAATAATTGTATAAATATCATCACCATATTTGTGAATGTATATTAGACCCACCAGCTGCCCGTGTATTAGATGTGTGAGGTCGTTTGTTTACTCTTGAATATCGGCAAAAATTTAACATTTCCGCTACTTTGAGCTCAGTTTCAAGCCATTTCCAATGCTAAAACCAATCAAAATCATCTCTATTTCTGTAATATGTCTTCCATTTTATCAAATGAGACCAAGAAATCGCAAATACAACTATAAAAAACATACGAAAAAACACTGCAAAGTTGCTGTTTTAATCGAAAAATCATGATTTCATTTTTTTTCTCTCATTATACACAGTGTGCTGCAGGATCTGTTTTATGTGGTGCACACATACCACATAGATGTATTCTCTCATATCTAGGCCCAAATGTACCACTCACAGTTTATCAGAGTGAGCTGAGCTCATGGCGTAGATCTATGGTTTGGACCCTGAACGTAAAGCCGTAGATCTACGGGACGGACCCTGAAAGGGTTAATAGCAAATAATGAACAAACAAAACACTCACCACACAGTGGTGGGAGGGCTGGCTGCCAGTTGTGGGGGTCAGAGGGAGGGTAGTAGGGACTTGCAGTGGTGGAGGCAGTGGTATTTAATAACATACATGTTGTTAAGGCATAACGTATGTATTTAGTACAATTTACGACATTTTCATGTATTTTATGATTGTTCATGGTTCAACAAGTTAAGGAAGCAGTATTGTATTATATTTCCCTACAATATTTTGGGGCACCAAACATTCATGGTTTTTCAACATTCGCGAGGCTCTTGATCCCCTAACCCTCGTGAATGTTGAGGGAGACCTGTACAGGGGGATACAACCATATCAAAGTAAACAATTCAAATACTGAAGTGTAGTCACTGAGCTCAAGTTTGAGCTCCCTAAAATTCTCAAATCCAGTTATCTTGTGCTCTAACTAACTTTAAAGTTACTGGTACTTAACAGATGATCTTTAGTTTCGGAATGTAATCTTGTAGTTGACAAAGGTTTAGCTAATCTAGTGAGGGTCCTGTAGCCACATATTCTGTTTTGGAAGTTTCTATATATACTTCCAAAGTATCTATCATTACAGCAAGAAAAAAAAAACAATAAATGACACTTGAGCACAAAAGGCAGCATAAATGAATCCTTATATATAAAGTGATTACCAGTAGTTGTGATGGGCATGAGCTTGCTGCAGGTAGTGCTTTCCATAAACTCTTTAAGTTAGCATCTCAAAACTGTTTGAAAGACTTGTGATATTGCTACATGTCTAATTTTTTTTTTTTTTTAATTTCTCTGCTGCTGCCTCTGAAAAAAAAGTAATGTCTGCTCTTTTTAAGGTTTCTAGGTTTTCTCCTGAATTTGTTCTGTCTCCAAAGAACACTAAATACTTATGGTATTTTGTAGGTTTTGTAAATGCCACATTTTGGAAATAAGGTTCTGGAGTTGTGTATGGACAAGTTTAGCACCTTTAGTAAATATTAATATTTCATATCCCATTTGCATAAATGAAAAGGAAGGAGGGGTAGCAAGAGATAAATACTGTAGAAGTCTTATCTAGCATTAATATTTACATTTACCTTGTCTCTGAATATTGTAATGAATTTAAATTTATATATTACAATCTGTATTTTTATAACTTTTTATTTTTAAGCCTGTGCACAACACTATGCCTCCAGTGGGAACCAGAGATCATTGCCATTGCACTGATGTATCTGGCAGGAAAATTAAGTAAATTTGAAGTAACGGATTGGAATGGAAGGACAGCCAGGCACCAGCGTTGGTGGGACATGTATGTGGAAGGCATCTCCATGGATCTTCTAGAAGGTAATGCACCCTGAGTATTTATTAGCAGTCAAAAAGAGTTTTGTTGCAAGGGTAAGAAAAACTAAATTATCTAGTCTGTAAGGAGTATGAAAACCCATTTCTAAAAATGTTTTATTCAGTACCTTGCTATTTTTTATTGCATAAGGTAGGTAGTGAATTGCTAGTACAGTTTTTTGTAGATTAGTAACCAGTAACTATCCAAGGAAGTACAGGCAGGCTCTGCTTGTACAGCAGGTTAGGTTCCAGGCTACCACTGTAAAGCAGAAATCACTGTAAAATGAATCATAGCTTTTTTTAACTTTCAAATAAATATAAAGGCCTGATAAATATGTTTATGCTATCATATATTAAGTGAGCAATATAGCTAGACCTAAAAAGTGGATATACAGCACACACACATTACTTACCTTAAAATATTTTCATCCTTAGCTTATAGCGAGTGGTGAATATATTTATTGTAGGAAGGTTGAATAAAGGAAGAATGGTTATGGTAAACACCCTCTGTGACATTTGGGGCTGCCGTAATTTGCAGATTTTTTTCTTAAAACCTAACTAATAATTGCTCGCGGAAATCCCCGTATATTTGCAGAATTTTTTTTTATTATTATTATCAGACAATGGATATCTCCCACAAGAAGGGTGGCCTGGAAAAGAATAACGTTCACCATATTGTCTTGCCGAAGGGTGCTGTACACCAGTTTTTAAACTTGCAACATTTACACCCTCCTTTTTTTATGGTAATATATATAAGTAATATATTTAGTATTGTAGAGTACCAACACTTTTTTTATATGGATGTGAAAGCTTGGGTGGTAAATGCAGCAGCGAGGAAGACGGTTGGAGGCAGTGGAGGATGTCTGTCTAAGGGGCAATTGTTGTGTAAATATTATGCACGAAAATTCTGGAGTGTGAAAATTAGGAGATGGTGTTGTGGAGTTAATAAAAGCATTAGTCAGAGGGCAGAAGAGGAGTTCTGTTCGAGGTGTGGTTTGGTTCATTTAGAGGAGAATGGATCAATGTCGAATGTCATGGAAAAGCATATAAAATCTATAGGGGAAGGAAGAGGGGTATAGGGGTCGTCCTCGACTAGGGTGGAAAGAGGGGGTTAACGGAGGTTTTGTGGGTGAGGGGCTTGGACTTCAGCAATGCACGCTGCTATGAGCGTGTTAGAATAGAGTGAATGGAGACAGAGTGATTTACTTTGGGACCTGACGATCTGTTGGACGTGTGAGCAGGGTAATATCTTAGTGAAGGCGATTCAGGGAAACGTTATTTTCATATAGTGGACTTGAGTCCTGGAAATCGGGAAGTACATGCATGCACTTTAAAGGAGGGGTTTGGCGAATATTGGCAGTTTGGAGGGATATGTTGTGTATCTCCTATACGTATTTGCTTCTAAACTGTTGTTTCTGAGCACCTCTGACAAAATGCAGTGATAATGTGTGAGTGTGGTGAAAGTGTTGAATGGATGATGATAGTATTTCTTTTTGGGGATTTTCTTTCTTTTTTTAGGGTCAACCTGCCTCGGTGGGAGACGACCGACTTGTTGAAAAAAATAAAAAAAATTTTATGTTTTTTTAAAATGCTAATTAATCAGAAAATTAATTTAGTAATTTTGTAACCAATTTATTAACGTAAATTAGCAATAATTTCCATATATCGTGTAAGTACCCCTACATTTAATTTAATTTTACTAAGATAAATTATTACCTTTTTTACAGTACATTTTTATTTTTATTATCACACCTGGCCCCCGATTCCCACCAAGGCAGGGTTGGGCCCGAAAAAGAAAAAACTTTCACCATCATTCACTCCATCACTGTCTTGCCAGAGGGTTGCATTTACTCTACAGTTTTTAAACTGCAAACATTAACACCCCTCTTTCAGAGTGCAGGCATGTACTTCCCATCTCAGGACTCACAGTCCGCCTGCCGGTTTCCCTGAATTCCCATCATAAATGTTACTTTGCTCACACTCTAACAGAACGTCAAGTATTAAAAACATTTGTCTCATTCACTCCTACAAACACGCTCACGCATGCTGTGGAAAGTCCAAGCCCCTCGCACACAAAACCGCCTTTACCCCTCCCTCCAACCCCTTACTAGGCCGAACCCCTACCCCCCTTCCTTCAACTACAGAATGATTTTCTACTTTGAAGTCTTCTGTTTTTGACTCATTCTCTCTACATGTCCTAAACCACCTCAACAACCAGTCCTCAGCCCTCTGGACAACAGTTTTTTGTAATCCCGAACCTTCTCCTAACTTCCTAAACTTCGCATCTCTCTGCATTATTATTACACACACATTTGCCCTCAGACATGACATCTCCACTGCCTCCAGCATTCTCATCGCTGCAACATTCATCACCCACGCTTCACCCATATCAGAGCGTTGGTTTTAAAACTTATTCATACATTCCCCTTCTTTGCTCCAAGGACAAAGTTCTTTGTCTCCACGACTCCAATGCACCACCACCTTTTTCCCCTCATCTTCTATGTTCCCCTCATCTTTCTTAACCCCCCCGCTGACACGCCCCTTTCCCAAAATCTGAATACTTACCTCCTCCATACCTCTCCCCTCCAATTGATATTCAATCTTTCATCACCAAATCTTTTTGTTATCCTCATAACCTTACTTTTTTCCTTATTCACCTTTAATTTTCTTCTTTTGCACACCCTACCAAATTCATCCACCAATCTGAAACTTCTTTTCAGAATCCCCAAGAGCACGTTCATCAGAAAAGGGGCCTGTGACAACTCCCAATTTGTGTGTGTTTTTTTTACTTTTAACCCCCGCCTCTTGCCAAGACCCTCGCATTCTTCTCTTACAACCCATCATAAATATTTTAAAAAACCCGGGACTCACACATCCTTGTCTAAGGCCTACTTTTACGGGGAAAAAATTTCCCCTTTTTCCTACATACTCTAACTTACTCACTATCCTCGAAAAAAACTCTTCACTGCTTTCAGAAACCCTACCTCCACCCCATACATTTGCAACATCCCATTTTTGCCCCCCTACCCCCCCCTTATACGCCTTTTCCAAACCCATAAATTTGCCACAAAGACCTTTTTTCCTTATCTAAATATGTTCATTTATATTTTCCTGTAAACACCTGGTCCCACACCCCCACCTTTCCTAAAGCCTCCTTGTTCTCTGCATCCTTTTCCCCGTCTTACTCTAATTCTTTCAATAAAAACTCTACCTCACTTTACCGGTAACCAACAAATTAAACCCCCTATTTTTTTTGCACTCCTTTGTCCCCTTTGCCTTTATACAAGGAACTATGCATGCTCTCTGCCCAACCTAGTATCTTACCCTCTTTTATACTTTTTTAAATAATTGCCACCCAAACCCTCCAAAACTATATCCCAAACCTGTTTTTTCCTTTTCTATTTTTTTTCCCTTTAAATTTCCCGGCGGGCCTTCCCCCCTTTTTCCTTTTTAAAACCAAAAGGCCCCCGAATTTCCCCCCACACTCACAACTGGTTTTTCCCCCTCCTCCTCCAAGATGTTATTCCTCCTTCCCTAAAAACGAAATCACAGCTTCCCTATCTTCATCAAAATTTAAAAATTTCCTAAAAAATTTTCCTTTCCATTTCCCCAATCCCCTCTAACTCTCCTTTTAATTTAACTTTTCCTCTCCTTTTTTTTAACTGAAAAAATCCATTTGTTTCTCTGGGCTTTCTTAACTTGTTAATTCACCCCCAAAACTTTTCCTTATTTTCAACAAAATTTTTTGATAACATTCCCCACTTTTCATTTGCCTTTTTTTTACATTGCTCCCCATCTCTTAACTTCTCTTTTTTTTCCCCAATACTTTTTCCCTCCTTGCATCATTCTATTTTGTAAAAACTTCTCATTGCAAAATTTTTCTCCCTTATTTCCCTCTTTACATCATCTTTCCCAAAAAAAATCGCTCCTTTTTCCCTCCTGCCCCCACTTTCCTGAAACCACAAACTTCTGCTAAACCCAATCAACATTTAATTTTTTTTAAACCCTACCCTATACCTCTTCGACCCCAAATTTGCCTATGCCCCCTCATTGCCCATCTATCCTCCAATAGCTGTTTTATTTCCCCAAAACTGCCCCCCTTTTTAAGTTTTTTAAAACCTTTCCCCTCTCTCTTCCCTGATGCTTCTATTTCTCCTTGTACCCCATCCCCTTTTTTAACTCCCCGTGTACTAAAACTAAAATTGATCTGAAAATATCTGGGGGCCCCCTCTATAAACATGTAAAACCCCTAAAGTTACTCAACATTTTTTATCTACCAATACATAACCCAACAAATTTCCCTGTCTTTTCCCCGCCCACATCTAGTGTAAAATTATTTATCCCCTTTTTTTTTAAAAAATTGTATTACCTATAATTTTAAACCCCCCTTTCTATAAAAAGGGTTAAATCAAAGGGCCCCCTTTACCCTTTCCACCGGGACCCCATTATTATTATTTTTTTTAAAAAAAAAAAGGGAAGCGTAAGCCACAAGGCTATACGCCTGCAGGTTGGGAAGGAAGCAAGGGAAATTTGGGATGGCAGAAAGGGGGGGGGAAGATGATAGAAATTACAAAAAACCCGCGGGGAAAGGGGGATTTGTAGGGGGGTAGAGGGTAGCAAAGATACAATAGAAAGGGCTAAAAGTATAGAATTTGTAAAAAAGTCAGCCCGTTGTAAAAAAGTCATGAGAGGCCCGGGGATGAAAGGGGGTCCACAGCGAAAAAGGGGAAGGTAAAAAAGAGAGCAGGGGGGGCGAAGACGACGACAGAGGTAAATTCTGCGTGCTCGTTGATAAAGTGGGCAGCCCAACAGAATGGGGTTTGACTGATAATGGAGTTTTGGAAATTTCCACAGAGGGGGACCCAAGACGCCTTCCATGGGGATACCCAATGATTTAAAAGGGAGTAGGGCCCAAAAGCAAAAAAAAAGAGGGGGGAGAGTTAGTTTTCCCAAACCTCACACTGGGGGATAAGAAGAGGGCCCAAAGTAACCTAAAACTCGGTTTAAAGACTGAATTTTGTTGCCGAGCATAGTA